AAGTTGGTTTTTTGCAGAATTGGCTTTTTGTCATTGTGTGTCCCTGAACTGGCTCACAGCAGGATCAGACAAGTGCTGGTGCTGACACAAGGGGAAACAACTGGAGCTAGACTGTCCTGGGACGCCCAGCTTAGCCAAATCACATCCTTCAGTAGCCCAGTGGCAGAGAAACAGGAGGACCATGGCTGTCATTATGTCACACTGTGGTGTCACTGGGGCACGCTCTGACCTGCCCAGCCCCTCATCCAGGCTGAGCAGATGCTGCACAGGGCTGAGCCAAAGAGCCTGAGCTCATAGCGGAGGGGTTGAGGAAGAGTGAAGGTGGCAATCAGAAGGAGGAAAACGCAACTCTGGGATGCACTGTTTGGGTTTGTCTGACAAAAAGCAAAGCGGCGGCTGGCTGCACATCACTGGCTTGCTGTTCACTGTCTCAGGCAGCTCTTGCCTGGCTCGCCAGGAGGCTGGCAGCACTAGGAACCTCGTACTTTGGTGGCTGAAGGTAACACCGCATGTTTGCCGTGGGGTGAGAGCACATCAGCAGGCTGGCTGTGGGGAGCAGCCACTGTGCAGCGACTCATCACAACATGGCACGTTGTCGGTGTGTCGCAGCACTGAACACAGTTCAAAGCTTTAGTGAACGTACCCTGCTCCCTGGGCAGCTCTGCTCTGCTTATCACTCACAAAACACAGGATTGGTGTAAAAAAGACCTGCTACATGACCCTGGAGATGTTCACGGCCAGGCTGGATGGGGCTTTGAGCAACCTGGTCTAGTGGGAGGTGTCCCTGGAACTTGATGATCTTCAAGGTCCCTTCCAACTCTAACCATTCTATGATCCTATGATTCTATGTGCTTTTAATAGTGTTACTGCATATGCCAAATGCCTTTTGCAGTTTGTATGTAGGACGGAGGCAAAACACCTACGAGGTCAGGGGCAGAATTTGTGGAAATTCTGCATTACCAGGATTGTTACAATCCCTGTTGAATGCAGCACAGATCAAGTTCAGGAGAGCTTGATGGCCATCTACTGGCGAAGCCTCAGTCTTTGTTTTACTTTGCAGACTGTTTTTTTGCATCAGAGAGACAAGCACTTGGCCATGTGTGAGTTGCAGAAATGCATTTTTTCACTTCTGGAAATAACACAGCTGAAGCTCTGTAAATCACCCTAAATGCTCACACTGATTTCATTCATTTCACCCTGTGAGCAGTACTGACTACAGGTGTTGCAGCTGCTCACAGAGGCAACCAGCAGCCTCCCAGGATTTCCGTTTGTGTAACAGTTTCTACTCTAATACAGCAATCACACTGTTTTTAGAAATAACAAACTGCAAATAAATGAACATCAAGCTGACAGGTCAGAACTCAGTTTTCTTCGTTAATTTATCTTTCAGACTTGATGTATCAGCAGTAATTTGATGCATCCTGCAGTTCCGCTGGGATGTTGCGGATGGTGTCAGTCCAATTGCTAAACCCCACCTTGAGCCTTAAAGGCTGCCTGAGATCTTGGCTCTTAACAGGAGAACTGGCAGCTCCTTCTCTGGGCGCCCTGGCAGCTTCCCAGCAGGAAGACCTTCTTCCAGGTCTTCACTCTAGGCTGTCTGTGAGGGACACTTAACAGCCAAGAAAGACTGCTACATTATTTTTATATATGTGTGTGTGTATTTTCAGGTAGATCTTATATGATTTTAAAACACACTGTAAGCAAAACCAAAAAACCTCACTAATAAAGAAAGTATCTGTGCGTTCCCAGTCATTTCTATTCTCAGTGTCCACCGTGGTGCCATCAAATAGTAGTTTCTGTAGCCCTGTGCTGAGCAGAGCCACATGGCAGAACCGCCGTGGCTTTTAAAAGGCTCAAACCACAGTTTTGAGGACTTTTTTTTAAATGTTTCTCCATGTGGTCAGTGAGGGTTTTTTGGAGAAGTTGCTTGAGAAATTGGAGGATGTCTCTCTACTGCTACATGGCCAAGGGAGAGACTGTCAGCAAATCAACTGAAAGTTCCTGCGTGAGGGACTAACCTCAGGAAGCTCAAGAAAAGCATCTCTGTGCTCTTTTTAAGGCTTCCTGTGGTATGTGCATGGCTGAAACAAAGCTGGTGGCATCGGTTAGGGTCTGGGCTCCTATTCCACCAGGGAGCATGTCTGTGCCATGGGGACCCCCCCGGAGCCACGGGAGTTAGAGTGGCAGAAGAAGACCACCTTGGAGATGTGCTCTCCCTTGCCAGGAGTCCTTTCTGCTGGCTAGTTTGCCATTTAGCCTGCGCTGCTGCAAAGGGAAGGCAGGAGCTTACACTTGGTGGTTCCAGCTGCCAGGGACGTTTCTCTTCACTGTGCTGAGCAAGCCATGGCTGTGAAGCTCGTGGAGGACGGTGGCAACGCGTGGCACCTTCTGCGACTTACTCACTTATTTTCCCCGGCGTGGAATAGGTGGGATTCTTCTCCTTTTAGAGAGAGGGGGAAAAATGCAGTCAAGCAGCAGCACCATGAATGGTGTGCCTCCTTGGCAGCGCTGCTTTCTGCCACCCCCTCCTGTATAAATACCTGGGAACGCGCGGCGCAGCTCCCAGCAGTGAGGTCATTTTCTTGTACGTGACAAATCGCTTTTTACAAGGTGCTGACTCTGCTCAAGGTTCGTGTCTCGAGGCTGGAAATTGCAGCACCATTATAGGCTTGATCCTCCTCCCATTTAAACCAGCTGTACTATCCGGGATCTGAACACCTTGTTACAAAATAGGCTTTTAAGACGGCTCATAAATCCCATGCAGCAAAAAGGGTGCACAAATTTTTAAAGATAAAGATTTTCTGGTCTTGAGCACTAGATTTTGTACCTTCAGTATCGAGCTTTAAGATTTGATTTACATGTTTGCTTTTTATTTTTGCTGGTGGGATGTTGGGAAAAAAAAAAAAACCACTGGAGTAGCGAGACTGTTCTCTGTAAATCATCGAACCCAAGACTTTCATTTGCCATGAGACGCAGATGCTTAAATGCAATTCCTAAGCCATTTCTGTGACAGCTAAACATATCTGTATTCTTGCCACATAGTGAAAGTGCTGATGTATCTTACTCTCTTGGGGACTACTTTTTGCTAGTTAATGTAGATATTACGGTCCTCTGTCCATTTCTTCCTCTATTTCAGAAATTCCCCGCATGCCCGTTTACATACATTTTATTATAGGCAAAAATAATTAATCTGGAAAATCTCTTTGCCTGAAGGTGAAATATGAATATAAAGTATTAAGAGAAAAAGAGAGCTGTCAGAAAGAGAGTACTCCGTTTTTTTAAAAATAGTGTAGAAGCTTCTCAGCAGATGCAGCAACATTGGTGACTCTCTCAAATGACTTCCTTTGTATCTTAGCTTCCCCAAAGGTTCGTGCTTCCTTCTTTTCGTGGTCAGATTCACTTTCTTTTCCTCCAATGCATTCTCATTTGACAGTCACAAGTTTTTTCAGGAGAACTGGGAACTCGCATCTTAAGAATTTAAAGGTGCTGGGTGATGAATCTTTATATCACTTGGAGGGGAGACCTTATCACTCCCTATAACTACATGAAAGGAGGTTGTGAGGTTGTAGAGAGGCGGGGGTTGGTCTCCTCTCTCAAGTCACAGGCAATAGGACAAGAGGAGGGGGCCTCAAGTTGCACCAGCGGAGGTTCAAATTGGGTATTAGGCAACATTTTTACCCTGAAAGGGTTATTAAGCATTGGAATGGGCTTCCCAGGGAAGTGGTTGAGGCACCATCCCTGGAGGTATTTAAAATATGGGCAGACATAGTGCTTAGTGACATGGTTTAGTGAGTGGTTTTTTTCAGAGTTGGGTTGATGGTTGGACTAGATGATCTTAAAGGTCCCTTCCACCCTACACAGTTCTATGATTCTATTCTGTGATTCTGTGATCATTTACCTTGAATGTCAATAAACGCAGGAATGTGGGTGAAGCCCCAGAAACTTGATGAAGGCCAATGTTGTTCCAGTCCTTAATGTACCTAAACCTACTAGCTGTACTAGTAGGCTAGTATAGCTGTGCGTGAACATGACTGCTGTGCCGTATAACCGTAATGGGGTTTATAAGGAGATCAACTAATAACGATTCATAGCTGGGTATACTATAATTAATGAGAGTTGATGAGGGTTTGGATCTTGGCATACCAGCTTCATAATAGTTTATGACGCAAGTTTATCCAGCCATTGTAGTAGCAGGCTTTCTTTAAGTATTAGGCTTTGTATTTATAAAACAAAGCAACAGCATGACATTTTTATTTGCTTAAAATTGGGATAACTGATAGGTCTTAGCATGTTGCTGCAAATGGAGCATCTTGTGCTGAGCATAGGCATTTCTGTGGGGATCGTTCGCCAGCCCCACGCTAATAAACTTTTTTAGTTATCAGTGGTCTGAAAGGAAATAAAATTTATTGACTTGCGGGTGATAGATTGAGAATTGTTAAATAAGTAAATGGGAAAATCGCTGCTGCAGGGTGATACGGATCTCTTAGCAATCTGTATGTAAGCAAACAACAGGTGTTTGACCAAATGCGAGGATCCATAGTCCAGATCTGGGTACTGAAAACAGTTTCATGAAAGGTTTCAGGATTTTTATCCATTTAAACTTGTCAAAGAGAAATTATGGAGGCTACATATAAAGTTGTTTAGAAAGCAGGGTTCAGTGAGCTTGGATCTGGACACATGTGAAATAGAAATAAAGCTCGGATAAAGTCAGCCTATTCCGTTATTGGAGCGGTATTTCAGGCATTGTGGCATTTTTTCTGGCAATAAGCACTTCTAAATCAAGACCCAAATTGTTTCATACTGCAAAATGCGCTGTAGTTCAAGCGCAAATTGTTTCACATCTGTGCTGTGGACTATACTGTAGAGAAGGAAATATTTAATTAATTGTTAAGGTCACTTCTGTCACAGTGATATGTTACTGCTGATCATCTGGGGCTCGGGATATACACCACGCTCTTGCTTCATTTGTTGCTTCTGTTCTTTTTTTTTTTTTTTCCCAGTTCAATTTCACCGTTCAGTATTGAGAGCACAAGGCGTCAGAGGAGGTCTGAGTCTCCAGACTCCAGGAAGCGGCGCATCCATCGGTGTGACTTTGAGGGGTGCAACAAAGTGTACACAAAAAGTTCCCACCTGAAGGCTCACCGGAGGACACACACAGGTAAGGCTTTGCTGGCACCGTGTACCACCCTTAAGACAAGCAGGTTCCTTTCTCCCTGATTTAGAACATACTGAACTCATCATCCTACACTTAAGAGCCAAAGGCCCGTACCTGAGCAACAGAGGTGTCTGCGAGCGCATCAGCATTGGCATTCTGCTGTGGATCAAGAGTGTGGCTTTTGAATTCAGCTTCTCTGTCATCCCCGCTTGGCAGCACAAGAGCGGTGTCAGCACAAACCAGGCTCCTTTCAGACGAAACTAAACAGAAAAGCAGCCTCCAGGAACACACCTACTGTGCTTCAGCGAGCAATTGCTTGGGAAACCCTCAAGAAGAGCATAGAGTTGCAGACGTGGATCTTCAGCACCATTTTTTGTTAACTCTAAACACCTGCTCCGATTGAGCCACTACTTGCTCTTGCAGATGTAGCCATTGAATGCTAGGTGCCACTAAATGCCTTCAGTTCAATCCCAATCTTAAATCAAGAGCTCGATATTTCTTTCTGGAGGCTTTCAGAATCACCTACCACATCCTGCAGAGGGAAGTCAGTCTCTTTATGAGAATAGGTCACTTTAGGTCCCTACAACAGAGATGCAAGAGAGCTGGGTCCCATTCAGTGATGATAATACTTAGCACTTGATCAATACCTGTTGCCCTGATTAACTCTATGGGCTGTTACTGGTCTACATGACAGGCATGCAAGGGTAGCTGAAGCAGTGATGTATAGTTGTTGTAATTTTATTGTGGATAAACTCAGGAGCATCAATCTGAAGTCATCAAGACCAATTTAAAAGGGGATGGCTTGGATGGCTAGAAAGGCAGTGGACAGAACGCTCTGAGTTTCAGTGCTGTTCCTTGCTTGGCTGCTGATTTGCTGAAATTAAATGTATTGATCTTTCTACTCTTAATGTACTTCAGTGGTCTTGTAACTCCTTGGAGAAAAGATGGTGTTTGTCCAGAATGTAGCACGATGTTGTTCTTTGCTGAGAATCTGCTGGTGCTTTCTGTGGTGTGATGTGCTCTAAAGAGTGTGAGATATTATTTTAAAAAAATAAGTGATGGCTTCTCCATTTCAAATGGGGCCGCGTCTCCATCACTCTTTGCAATATGTCTTTTGGTTGGTAGGACTTTTGTTGAGAGGAATACTGAACAAGGCTCCATCCTAATATCCCCTACTAAACCAATTTCTGTAAGGTAAGAGTCCCTTCTTTAAACAGTGGAAATGTTCTAGTGATCTGGGAATTTCATTACACTTCCCTCCAGGCCAATTAATGTAGTTTCTTCATATTTCACTGAATTTCACTGAATTTCTAGAGTTGGAAGGGACCATAGAGATCATCTAGTCCAACTCCCCTGCTGAAGCAGGATTGCCTAGAGCTAGAGCATGTTACTCAGGACTGCATCCAGGCGGGTTTTGAAAATCTCCAAAGAAGGGGACTCCACAACCTCCCTGGGCAGCCTGTTCCAGGGTTCCGTCACCCTCACCGTGAAGAAGTTTCTCCTCATATTTGAGTGGAACCTCTTATGTTCCAACTTGTGCCCGTTGCCCCTCGTCCTCTCGGTGGGAACCACTGAAAAGAGTCTGGCTCCCTCCTCCTTCAACCCTCCCTTGAGATACTTGTAGGCGTTGATAAGGTCTCCCCTCAGCCTTCTCTTCTCCAGACTAAAGAGTCCCAGCTCTCTCAGTCTCTCCTCATAAGGGAGATGCTCCAATCCCTGAATCATCTTTGTAGCCCTACGCTGGACTCTTTCTAGTAGATCCCTGTCACGTTTCAAATGGGGAGCACAGAACTGGAAATAGTATTCCA